CCAGTTGTGTTGACTTCACTTGAGCATGCTTCATTTTCAAGAAATAGATTAGCCGTTGTAGTTACAGTAGTGAATCAATTATTGATTTGATCGCCAACTTGCTAAGCAAGTATGAATTGAAAAGAAAGCGCCATGACTGGTAGGGGAATCATTTGTTCTGAAGTATTGCACCATGAACATGAAGAGCATAGCTGCCCTTCAACCGAATGGACGCAATAGGAGGCTCTTCTGGAAAGTAGGCTCCGCTACTTGGTGAGGGGGGCCTCTTCTTCATATGCGCACTTGATAGGTTCAGTAAGAAGAATTGGTTAAATGGTCAATTAAATCGGGGAAGGGAAAACAGTCCTGATTTCAAAGTTATAGGTCCCTAATAGGGTCTAGTGAAGTACTCATCCGGTAAGTTAAGCAAATTTTTCAGAAGTTTCTAGTTCGATAAAGAAGAGGAAGGAAAAGAGTAACTTCAACATAACAAGGAATCAGAGACTGTAATGACTTGGAAGACAAATTTCGAGCCGGAGTTGCAATATGGAAATTGTGCTTTACGGTGGCATGATGACATAAAAAAACTGAAAGTATCAGCTATGGTCTCGTAACTTACTTATTGGATTTTTTTGAAAGTAAGTTGGAGTAGAAAGCGAAGGGCTGACAGACTGCCAAATTACATCAGTAGACTACAATTCCAGACTACCAGACGCCAGCCCAGGAATTTTTGTCAGTTCGGGCCGAAATTAAAGCAGGATAGAGGAAAAAATATGAAAAGAAAAGAAGGAATCTATAAAGAAATGAAGAATGAATGAAAAATAGCCAAAAATACGACCATAAATTCTCGAAGACAGCGTTGAACAGCTGACATACCGCTTTGATACTGATGTAAAGATGTAAAGTTAAGAGTTGAACCCGATACTCAAAGCACGAAGACATCTCTGGGACAAGTTAAACTACCGTCACTAAGGTAGCAATCCACGAACTTGCGGAAGTCGGAATGGGAGAGGCAAAAGCTGTGAAAATACGGAACGAACAATGAGTTGAATGCAAAAAACTGCTTACTCCTGCAAAAGTTTAGCTGAGGAACTGTTGGCATTCACCTTTGGCTGGTAACCAGTAATTTTACCCGCTAGCCTGATCACCCATGGAAAATAGTCAAATGAGAATGCCCAAGAGTCGAACCTAACTTTCGATGTCGAAAAAATTTTATCAGGACGGTAGAGGATTCGATTCTACCTAGGTTTGGTAGTGGATGACTGGTAACCGGCACAAAACAGACTTACCCTGATCGAATAGTGTGGGACCATCAAGTTGAAGAGGATTGCTTTTGGAAGCTTGCCATCAAGTAACTTGAGTGATATTGATCCATGGATTTCACCGATGATAACCCTTCAGGTATTAGCGTCTCCCAGGACCACAACTAGGCCTACCATTGAGACAACTAGCTAACGAATCTTTGGAACTCGAAACATAGCTTCAATTAGGTAATTCATTTACATCAAAAGAAAACGAAGAGAAATTCGATTTTTAGCTTCATAGTCCCTAGAAATCCTGGTGGGATCTCTGAGCCTTTCAGAGCATATGTGATTCCGCCAGTCCAACGGCTTACTGGAATGTCCATATGGGAATGGTGAGAAGTTATGTAATGAGGGGTTAGCAGTGCGATTCAAATTACCCTAAACATTTTTACCGACGTGGCTTCGATACCCATCCTCTAGAGATGGACCGGGGTGGGCTGTCAGAATTCAGTGCTTCATCTTCAAAATCGATGATAGCCATCAATTTTCGGGAAGCGCGACAACTGCCGAAGCTCATCTGTATGCTCGATTTCTACTAGCGCACGCTGCACAAGAATAATGGCCACGGCCGGCCGATATACGGATGGTCACGTGGTGAGAAACGACCACTGCGATTTGGTGTTGGTTGATCGTTCGGTAATTCAAATGCCTTTTACCAGGGGGTAATGTTCTAGTATGCGCCACGAATCAGAATGTAAGCGGAACCGCATTCACATTTGAAATCCCACTTGGCTTACTCAAGGAACTAGCGTCACAAACGACAGGTTTTTTGCCTTTCTAGAAGCTTCTGAGCCCAACCAATCGGCCCAGGAGCATAGAAACTTGGTGACTTGGTTAGGATCGAATTTAGGGAGTGATCAGCGGATCTCTGGAGTGCTGGCGATGCAGATGGCCTGTAAATTCAAAGGCGTGGTACTAATACCCCTGTTGAATATGTAATGAGAGAAGTAACCTAACGAAATAGGATTTTCCGTGATGCAGGATTACAGCTCCCACTGAGGTGGGCAGTTCAAAAGTATTGTTGGTAAATCTTCTCACAAAGATTCTGGGCGTACCAAGTCTGTTTCAGTGACCTAGTTTCGAACGTTTCTACAGTGCCAGTTCCAGGAAGGCTTGGCTAAAATCCCACTAAGTTGGAGAGTGTAGGGACTCGTCAACAACATACACATTCAGAGTGAAAAATTCATTGTTTTTCGCTTTTTCAATGACTTCCAATGAATAAATAAATGAGTTCTTGTTAAGCAGCACCAACAGAATATGAGAAAGAAAATTCACCCATTTCAACGCCAAACGATGGAAATGGAATCTTCTAATTTTTTGAGCCAACAGAGGCTGTGGCCACTTCTAGGGAGCATTACCCTTTAGCCTTCGCAAAAAAGAAACTGATTTTTCAAATTTCCAATATTTCCTATCCCAACTAACTCGGCCAAGGGACTGGTTTTTCATGGAACAATTTCTAGATCAACTTTGGCTCAGATCAATACACTTTTCATTCCTATGTAATGGCCTTATCATTTTGAGGCCTAGAAAGTGCTGGGTGAATATGTAGTTGGGGAAGGGATAGCCACCCTTCGTCTAAGTAGAGATTAACGGATGGCCGACTTGATCCCTTCCTTAGGAGGGAAGTAGCATTGGAGTGGGTGACATGTTTATCCCGTGCAAAAAGCTGGGATAGAGAGTAAGATCTGAACGTTCAATTAACTCACCTAACCCAGTAATTCCTCCCTCGGATGGCTTACATGAAACATTATATTCTGCTGGCTAAAAACCGTTCCCAAGCATGGGTGAGGTCGACCACCACTCATTTTCTGGGCTCTAACGTTGGTGATGAGGGTGCCCACCCCAACTACATTTTCAACAAATGTTATCATTTCATTCCTCTTCCGGTATTCGGGCTACCCTTCATAAGTGAAAATAATCCTTTGGCAACATGGATTCAGCTGGCATTGTTCAGCCCTATATTTCTAAAAAGAAATCAGTCGTTTCACTATGATCTCTACTTTCATTCAACCTCAGTGAGTGTGATTTGGGTATTTGAGCCAAATCTCTCCATCCTTATATTAGCTCTATAGGTTCTACAAAGGCTTTTGATAAAAAAAATTGCAATTTTTTTGAAAAGTGAGGTGAGCCAGGACGAGTTTCACATCTACAAAAAGAATGAGGTCGATTCTACGGGAAGATGAAACGAATGAAACAGTCTGTCGAATTATCCGAAATAGAAGGGAACATTTCAGTAATAGCAAGTTTTACCCTTTGAATCCTTTCCTGCTCTATTTTCCACTAACTCCACTCGTTTTGCTAGAATAGAAACAGCAAAAGGTATAGCAGGACACGATACGGAATGATGGTTTCAGCTTTGGCCACTACTACCTACTATGTGCACCATGAAGTCGAATCGGTACAGCTATACCTCTAGGTAGATGGAAAATAAAATATAAAACCAGTGACATAGAAAGAAACAGAGAGTAATCGGAAAGGAAGGATGGACCGCACCTGACCTGAGCTAGGACAGCAGTTAAGACTGGTTGAAGTTGTGGTCGACAATGTATTCGATGGTCAGATCAAAATGGTCAATTTTGAGATCTATTGCTAACCATCATCGATTCTAAGTCCCAAGTCCTCCGGTGACTAACTAGTAAGACAGCTAGGTGCTCGACATTACGCCATTGCTCCAAGCTCAAAGAGCTTCCAAGCCAGTGTGGCTAAAAAACCAATGTGGTAAAGCATTCTATGAGGAAGCATGGGCACTCCTTGGAACCCATAGTGAACCTTAGTCTTTTTGAATTAGTATCGGCCCGGTACCGGTCACAGTACTTTCTATTCATATGTAGAAGCTATTATGGATGGTTTTTCTTCGTCTTTTCGATTTTTTATCGTCCCGACCCTGTTCAATGACTGTAATTTCGTCATGAACATACAGAGTTTTTTTTGACCTATTGGACAAAAAAACAGCGACTCATAAAGAATTTTTATGAGCATGAAATAACTATGGATAATTATTAGTTCTCTGCTTACGTAATGGAGCTTCCTTCAGTTTACTTTTCAATTACCACAGCCAACATTTGCAGTCTTATTGGCAGATTTTCGAACTACCGAGACCCCTTCAGCAAAACTGACTGCAATGCGACACAATGGGCCAACCCGTCGTAAGTCTTTGTTTTCGCGAAAGCCATGACATCACGATAGTATAATTTGTCGATCGTAATTCATTTGTAAAATAAATAATATTCAAAAAGGAAATAAAGTTGATTGGCTACTCATAGAGAATGCGATATTGACCGATGGTCACTGTCTATGACTGTCTATGCAGGACGTCAATCCTACCCACTACAATGGGGACGGGACATCCCAGATCGACATTAGTGCAAGTTTTTTTCATGGCTCTTCGACATCGCCAATCTTCTGGTGGCTGTGAAGGAGGCTGTTTTGCAGTATATGCTGGAAAAACTTCTGTTGTGTATCCCAATCATCAAACGATTTGCTGGTAATCACAATTCTCCTACTCAACACTAGAACTTGGACTCCCTCAGTAGGACTACAACCTCCTCCGTGGCATTTACTCATTTTACGGGTATTTTTGTAGTTTTGACGGATTTCTGTGGCCAGGAATGGTTATTTGGATCTACCATCTGAATTTGAGAAATGAAGCACCAATCATTACCTGATGAACCGCTGAGCTCACAAAAGGCAGCAGATCAGCTTGGATAGAAAACCAGATCAAATAGAACTCACATATGCTGTAGGGAACTGAATGGGTGGCCCAGGTCTGGTTGTCAGTTCGTCGTCATTCAGTCTGTGTGATGGTCGTGAACGTTGTTGGAAGGATTCGGGTGTCGAGTGATCGAGTGTGCATCGTGGCGTCAGCGCTGGCGTTGGCGTCGGCGATGGCTGCGGCGGCGGCGATGGCGGCGCCGGCAGCGGCAGCGGCGGCGGCAGGTCTTCGGCCCGATGATTAATGCTTCGTAGGCTGCACTCAGTCAGAGACGGCTGTGGCTGGCTGGCTCCACTCGCCAACAGCGCAATAAATGGTGTTCGCTCGACGGTCAACAGCTCTGGCCATAATTCTTTTGACATCACTTTATCACTGTCGCCTACGCTTTTTTCTTTCCTTCCAAACAGTTGCTACCGCCATCTGTCAAGTTGACTCTTTCTCTGACCCTCTTATCCCTTTGTACCTAGGCAATAAGTAGAATCTATCGCATTCTCTCCTCAAAGTACCAGAATTCGGGTTTCATTCCGATCGAGTATTCATTATTAATAAGTTTTTCGTCAGAGTCAGGCATCGGGAAGGTGGGGACAACGGAAACTTTCACGAGCTACTTCGTAAGATGGGTAGGAACGGTAAGCGAAAGTGGATTTTTACAAAATCTCAAAACCTTCAAAGAAATTTCGATTCACCCTACTTATTTTTCATAGCCTCTCTTAAACCTTCGAGTCTCCTTTCACCTTTCAAACTCCCAACATTCTGCTCCAAAGGTGGAGTTCTAGCTGCCCAAGTTCATGCCACAGTACAACCCAACGGGCCCAACGATTCCCAAGTCTTTTGAACTCGAAGCATTCTTTTGGATGATCGTTCTGAAAAAAGCTAAACCTCCATAAGTAGTCATTCGATCAAGTTCGGTGTCCATCAGGTTGTAATGAAGAGAACCTGGGAACATTCTCGGAAGGTGACCGCTTTGGGCAGTGCTCTTTTGAACTGTCCTGTAATCGAAGAGGTCGTTGCTGGTCAATACTGTAGTCAGCACACTTTCCTTTGACTTTGAGATCTTCATTCAAAGTATTGGAATCGAAAATTGCTGTTAGATGATTTCCAGGTGGATTGGTTCACAAACAGTAAATGTAGTTCTCCCTACTCCAACTCCAGCTCTGTTGGCGAATTGTAGGATTGCTAGGGACGCAACTCTGTTAGGTTTTTTTCACCTTGGAGTCAATGGATTTAGAGATCCTTCTGTTTGTAGTATTTAGGTCACCATCAGAGTTACTTAGTTGAAGTGCTCTAAACTGAAAGGGGATTTGGTATGATTACTTTTTCCACATTGGTTTGATGGATATCAATCCTCGAAGTGAGGATTTCTATAGAACCCCGAACAACTCTAATTTCCCGTAGCTCTTTAATAATCATTATTTTTGAGAAGTTTAATAAATTTTTGACGAGGACGAGTGGAATCTCATTAAAACAATATTATTTTTTCATGACATGCATTATCGTTATCTTATCACAACACATCAATCTAGCTCGGCCCATAGTAGGCGTGGCAAGCAGTGAGTGAATCTGGGTCAACTATATAGCATTTCCTAATGGAAAGGATAGAATCAAAGGGGCAGTGTTTGTCAATTATTGACTGCTTGGAAGTATACCATGTATTGGTTTTCTGGTGGTGTTAGTGGTGTTTTTAGTTGAGGACATTCAACTGTAGGCCTAAACCTGTGCTTGTGGTTTTAAGACATCAAAACCTGTTGAGTGTCTGCAGAGGCATGGCTTGTTGAGTTCCTCTCGATACCGGTACGTTACGGTACTCAGACCGATCGATGTCACTAGATCCTGCTCTGCTATCACGAACTCTACTTCCAGCAATTGTGTGGGGTAGCAAAAACCCTTTATAACAAACGCACAAGACAGGATCAGTTCCTCTCGATACCGGTACGTTACGGTACTCAGACCGATCGATGTCACTAGATCCTGCACTGCTATCACGAAATCTACTTCCACCATTTGTGTGGGGTAGCGAAAACCCTACATGACAAACGTACGAGATAGAGATCGCCATCAATACTAGTCGAGTTGCCAAAGTATACGATCTGCTAATAGTGAAACATATGCTCTTAGAGGTATCCCATGTTAAAATCTCCTTGTCTTAAGGCCGTGCATCAATGTACTGTCTGACCTGTGTAAGTTATTGAGGATAGTCTAAAGGTCCATGAAAGAGCTTCACAAATGAGAGAGAAGGAAGGGTTTTGAACGCACTCACTGGAAACGATATTGCCTCTAAACAACTCACACTCCATCGATGGCTATAGAAAGGAACTTCTAGAGAGCAGGCAGAAACAATGCCACAGACAATGCCGTTCGAGTGGAATCCAGGTTTTTTGGGAGTAGTAATAGCTGGCAAGGATAACAAGGGGGCATTTGAAAGGTCGAAACCACCTGGTGGAGGCTTTCCTTGCGCTTTCCTGAACATCTTCGAGACCATACCCGCCGACAACAGCGATGCTCAAACAATCAGAGCCTTGTTCAAATAACCAATCATAACGAGCCGAAGTTCACATTACAGGACTGAACACTGCGCTTCATATTAAGTCCCTGAAACAGAAACACAGAAACAATCCAATTAAAAATAGGGATTCCAGTCCCCTATGAAAGCCTTTGGCGTTTATCAATCTCTTTTTCGGGACGTGCCCCGCATTCCACTTGTACTCAGTGTCATGATGACGTTTTAAAATGAGTATGTGTTCTATACGCAGACCTGCGATGGCCAGCCAATGCTGTTATACTCCTAGATAAGTCTGGTACCAGTCAATCGATCCCGGATCGTTTGAAATCCTAGTTGGTCTTGGCGGATATCAGTTCAGGATTCGATCCCGTACCATGTATGTGACAGTGTGCGCCCCTTGCCATTACACCACCTTCGACCATGGTAATGGGAAATCTTACTCTTACTTATAATCTACATTATTAAACATAGAGCATATGATGTTCTAGATAGAAAGAAGTTTCCCTCGACGTTCGTTCAGTTTTGCCTCATGAATGGATCCGACACAGGATGATACGATTGCAGCACTCGACGTTTGAAAACTCGTCCAGTTAGGTTTTTCGTATTAAACTGACGTTGCCGAAACTTATGGTACTATTCCTAACTTGTCCTGTAACCGTTTTGAAATTAGCACACGTTAGACACTTATCCTTTTTTATATGGAAATTCGTTTGTGTCTTGAAACTGTTAAACTAGTGGGAAAACCTGCTCTCCCTCTTTTCGTCACCGCTTCAAACTGCCTATCATCCGGAGAATATTGGGCCCTTAGAACTGCTTGGAAGCGTAGTCAGAAGGCTTCAGTTCGGCGATGGCCGTACTTTCCGGCTCGTTGCTATTCTAACGTCACGTTCATGTCAGAAAAACCGATTCATCATAATCATTCGTCGTCGTTATCTTCCGCGTTCACGCAACGCTGAACAAGCATGAAACGAATTCTCGCGTAGATCTCGTACCGTCCAATGTCTGGGCCATTGAATCCTGCCTCGAACCCTCATTCTTTATGCATCCTACTGCTGTTTGAATCGTTCCTCAGGAACGTTGTACCACTTAAATCAAAAGGGCTAGGAAGAATGGTTGGGGTAGGATAGCCGGCTCCGATGAATCGGAACATGCCAAGATCGTCATATACCAAGGTTAACGGTCAGAAGTACTGAGGGAAGGAAGTTTGTGAAAAAAGCGGAAACGAGAGTATAGTGAGTAAGGAAGAGGGATGGACTAGACCTGGTCTTCAGTGAGTACCCACGATAGTCGATGAGGTGATTGCCGTGGAACCAGGGGATTGGCTTGTTCAAATCAATCTCCTAGTCAAAACGGTTGTTAACACCCCTTCAATTTTAAAAACAAGTCGAGTACGCGGCTCAGACCGATTATTCAACCGGTTATTCATGCTCGTGAAAGACATGGCGCAGTAGCAGAAGGCGTTGGCTCGATAATGCAAGGTTGGCCAGAACGGTTCTCTCCAGGTCACTCAAATTTTCATTCCTTGCTTGGGTAGCGATTCTCTTGGACTTCATCTCGACCTCTTTTTGCTCAACCCAATTGCAGTTTAAACATAGTCTGTCCAATAGGCTCTGGAGAGGAAAAGGTCCGACTACCCGGCAGAGTTGTGGAAGACTTGGCGGTGGACATCTACAGAACGACTTGCGATGTTACGCAACTTATGGACCCCAGGGATCCATTCAGAACCTCTCAGGTCTAAAAAGGTCCCTAAGCCTCTATCTTCTCTATTTACTTATTTCCTCTTGAATCTGCTGAATTCGGACGTTATGCTCTTTCGGATAGTCTCAAGCCACTCACCCGTCTAGTAGGGGAACGTCCTTGAAGAAATTCTCTGTCATGGAGAGCGCCGCAATGATTTCACGCACCAAAGAAACACGTCATATCGGCTTTTCTCTGGGATTAAATACGTCCGACTTACTGTAGGTGGTATTTGAGGCGTTCCGAGAAGACTTTCTAAGCTTTGAAAGGAAGTACTGCTATGGTAGGGCACTTTGCTGGTCCTCAAAGAAGGTTTGATGAGCTCAGGCTTGTCAACTGCCACAGTGCAGTGGAGGCAGCCTTAATTGGGGTGACCAGCGAGCCGGTCATGGGTAACCAGTCACGTAGTTGATGAGGCCTTCAACTCTATTTCAATGGGTTCATAAGTGCCAGTAGATCTACTACTCCCATACGCTTCCATTACAACGGTTGGCCATGGGTTCCTGAACCGGAGCAGGCCACCTTAAACGGCAAATTCGTCCTGAACAGCCCGGTAAAGTTCTGGAGTGGGAGTGGTATGAATCTGGCGAGAAGAAGGCGTGGGTAAACTTTGTTCCCTACCGATGAACTTCGATATCGGCGAAAACTGTAACTGTAACATGCCACCTTCCCACCTCCCCGACCCCAAACAGTTTCTTGTATGTCATATGACAAGAACACGAGCTAGAAAAATGACGCATTTACTCGTTTTACTCGACGGAAAGACTCGATTTTGGACGCCACTCGAAACGAGTAGTGCGCACGACGACGACGACGACGTTTTGCGGAACTTTTTCCGTATCGCCCGTGTTACGGTAGCCGTCCAGGGCACGTCGCATCATATAGCAGTGACAGCGCTCTGCATCTCCCCTTCACCCATAGTCTCTAGCCTGGCCGGGCGACGAGAAATTCCACAGAAATCTGGTCGTATTTCGACGTTTTGCTATCGCATGTCAGTTGAGATTACTGTAGACACAAGTGGTGGTCTGTCTGGGTGACAAGTCACTTGAACTTTTCGGATGACTTAATGAGCTCTGTTTCAATGATTTATTGAGCCATTAACCGAGTCGAAGATGTTTACCATAT